TTATATATAATTAATCACAGAACTTTTGTTAAGACATTTGTAAAAACATTTGTGGATGCAGTGATGAACTGTGTTCACAGGCAGTGGTTTTCAGATGGGTTCCTGAGCCCATGCAGTGATTTCCACTACAAAATGTGTCTGTTTTCAATGCAGCACTGTCTGAGGGCCTGAAGATCACAGCCACCCAACATTGGTTTTTGGACTTGTCCTTTGCGTACGGATTTCTCTCAATTCTCTGAATCTTTTAATGATATTATGTACCACAGATGATGAAACTCCAAAGTTCTTTGTTATTTTTGTTGAGAAAGTTATTCTTGATTTTTTGCATTTTTTGACAGCACAGTCTTTCACAGAGGGTTTCTTTTTCTTAAGGAGGTGTGGAATAAAATTGTTAATTCCACGTGATGACTTTAGAAGTGTGGCCTGTCACTAGAGGTTCATGGATAGGGGGGCTAAGCCTGTACTAAAGGGGTCTGAGGTTATGGTCCCCATAAAGAATTTTTTTAATGGCTCAAAAATGTTTAGAATGCACTTTTAGAGTTGCAACATCCAGGAAATCTCAAGCACATCAGCCGTGTTAAGTATATCAAAAAATGCTTATTTGATCAAACAGGCACACAGTAGATCTGTCTCTTCATAGATTGTATTAAGCACAGAGCCAGTATAACAAACACTGTATCCATCCACTTACAACAGGCTCTGGTCAAGCAAAGGTACTGAAGTCAAGCAATGCTCTCTCCTCTTTCTTAGATAAGCTGCGAGGTTTACAATATATTATTTAAACACACAGATTATAGATCAGTTCAGTCTTAGTTGGTGCAATCAGAAAGAGTGTGATTTTGCTCTGCAGGCATGTTTAATAATCTATGTGACAGAACTTCATTTCATTCAGTTAAGTTCAATTAAATTCAGTATTAATTTTAACCAAAAGCTTATACAACTCTCTCTCTCTCTCTCTCTCTCTCTCTCTCTCTCTCTCTTTCTCTCTATCTCTATCTCTATCTCTCTCTCTCTCTCTCTCTCTCTCTCTCGTGCTTTCTTCTTGATCACTATATAAAACTGTTATGATGTCCTTTTCACACGAAGGTAACAAAAACAAAACAAATATCCAGCTATACAGACCATAATTTACCAGAAATTCATATTGTATGTGTGTATATATATATATATATATATATATATATATATATATATATATATATTCACTCTGTTTACCACTGTTTTAGCATTCTAGATTCTGAATAAGGTCTAATGTTTATTTTAGTGAACTTTTAGCCAAAATCCTGTCTTCAGCTCAGCTACCAATTACTTTGCAGTGCAGAACCAGAGCCCCTCCCCCAGGTTTGATATAACTGGCTCACAACGGATGAGGTTTGATGTGATTGGCTAAATGTTACGTTAATCAGTCTCTGGTAGTACAGCAGAGAGTTGGGTATTACTGCATGCTGGAAACCCTCCAAATGGCCGGGCCAGAGCTCCAAATGGAGGAACGTAAACGAAAAGTTAAAATAGTTTCTAATCACTTGCCCAGAACGTTTTTTAATTAAAAAGTACAAGGGTGTACCACACTAAAAAAGCAATGAAAACTTATATATTTCCTTTTTTCTACAGCAAACGGGTTTTGGGCAGTAGAATGCGGGCATTGCTGCTACTGAGTGCTGATTGGTTGGCGAGCTGAGCAGCTCATTGGCTGTTCGCGCTCATGATGTCATGGACATACATGAGGTGCCATTTTAAACTCCTATAACTCAAGTTTAAAAACTCTTAAAATTATAACAGCAGTGTTAAAATGTTTCATGCTGTTCTGTGTTCAGGAAATGGTTGCATTCTTTTACATTAAAATTGTTTAAGCATTTATAAACTATGATTTTGCTCAAATGCTCCATATCAACCCATTAGGCTTGTTCAAGATGAACTGTGCCTCGCCTCGGTGGTCAGCGAGAGCAGCCGGTTCCAGTTGGAGGAGGAGGGTAGAAAAGAGCTGTCAAGTCGGACACTCGCCACCATGAAACTCACATGAACTGTGGCGGATCTCGCGGCGTTTGCGTTCTTCTTAGCTGATGAAGTGGATGCAGTAGAAATCCATCTGCTATTGCATGAAATTGAGTATGATGAGCAACGAAAGTGAAACGTTTATTTATTCGTCTGTAGGCGATTACATGCGTTATCCATGTTAATTAATAGTCTTAACATTTGTCAATAACAATTTAAGTTTATAGACCTAAACTAAGTAGTCTGTTTTTCAAGACTGTCTGTTGAATCAATTCACATGAAAACGTGTGAATAAATCATTCTAAATATGTTCAGTTTGTTCAAGGTAGAATGAGTGAATATGATAAACAGTGTAAAATTTCTAGAAATATTTAAATGGAAATTATCAAGTGCACTCAGACCTTAGTTATTAAGGTTGCACATATGGGAAATAGACTCCAATTATATTGTGTCCAACGGTCTAGTTAAATATTTTGTCTAAGGTCTTAATCACTTTTCCTCTTCTTTAGGCTTGTTCCAAAAAATACACCATTTATAGAGGATGTCATTCCTCTCTATAGCCTTTTAGAATTTAGAGGTGTCACTCTCAGATGTCACACTCTCCAAAGAACAAGTATGGAAGCCACATAACCATGCAAAAGTGGGTTTTAATGTGATTATGATCATCTTTTGTCTCGCTTACTATTTAGGATCTGATAAAGACCCTCAGCCCTGTTTATATGAATCCACGGCAGGCAAAATTGCCACTGACAAAGAGGGTCCTTATCTGTCTATGGACCCAGCAAACCAGGAGTCATATAAGGGTATTTCAGACTGATTCAATGTCACAAAATCCATTCTTGTCAAACATTTTCATGAGTTTTGTATTCTGGGAAAACACACATGGCACACCCCATTTCCTGGCCAGTAGGACACATCCTGCATAATTCTGTGTTAGGTTTTCAAGCAGCTGGATTTCCAAACAAATCTGTGCAGTAGATTGACACCACATTCGTATTCAGAAGCCATACTGCGACAGCCCCCTGGAACCCCTCATGGAAACTTTGTCCTGTTTTAATATATAGTGATTATAATCAGATACTGTTGTGACTCTTGGCTTGCCAACAGGTTGGTTGGGGATAACAGCTGCTCTGAGCCTAGTCTGGCGGGGGAGGTGGTGGCTGGAAGGTGTCCCCCAGTGAAGGACAGGGTGAAGGTTGCTAGGGATTTGACCACCACTATGGGTGTGAGAAATGGAAGGGGCCTAGTTGCAGGGGTGGAGGACTGGGTGAAGGTTTCTGGGGATTTGACCACAACGGAAGGGGTAAAGGCTAGTAGAGGCTGTAGAGGCAGTCAACAGGGCCACTTTATAAAAATACTACAATTAAACAGCATTCAAAAGCTTGGATGCCAATTGTGTAGTATAAATGCAAATACTTTTTATCTGAAAAAGTACATCAAAATGAATAAAATATTCCCAAAACCATTGCAGTTGCATCATGCTTTTATTGTTCACTCGCCATTGTTCACTCTTTTCTGCAACAGTTTTTGGTACATATAAGGTGATATTTCCTTGGCTGTCCTTCAAATTGATAAGGATGTTGTCCATGTGATGTTTTGGCACATGTAATATAAAGCCTTATATACCACAAAGTATAATATAGAAATAGTTCACACCTCTTCCAAATGTGTAGATTGTTATTCTTTATTTGTTACAATGTGCCAAACTGCCACTCAAAACATTGAGCAGCGATTGCTTTTTAGATTTAGTGAGTGGTCTTTAGTCATCAGTGATGACATTAGTGTGAATAAATTATTGGGGGGATAAAACTAACCTATTATAACTAATCATATAACATGCGACGCTGGATGTTATTTTATGGATGTATCGTGTAACAGTACTTCAGTAGGCACACCAATGAAGGATTAGCCCAATATGAGTCACTAATGAATAATGGGGTTGATTTCTATATTGTATGATTGTGTAGAAATCTGTGCTTCTTCGGCCACAGACAAAGCAATTATTCAAGCATTGAAGATGAATATTGGCTGTGGTTAATTGAAGATGAATTTCTTAAGACAATCATCTTCTGAACACCGCATTATTTTGTTCTTATATTCCAGAACAGCTTGCCTATTTGGTTACCTGGCGTTGGTTCATGTAAAGAAACATAACACCATGCTCATTCACACAGCTTTATTTGTTTATCATATTTTAAAACATTGACAGTGTAGAAAGAAAAATAGATCAAGGTGCAATAGTAATGTAGTGCTTTTAAAAAAAAATTAAGTTACAAATCATAAAAGCATTTTCAGAGTGCTTCATAAAAATAAAATAAGAAGACAGACTATTAAAATCTCTAGAAAAATATCAAGATAAAAAGATAGATATGTTAGATTAAAGAAATGTCCAGTGCTTGAGCCTTTTCATACGGAGCCCTGCTGGTGACATCCTGTATAAATAAAAGTAATGTGTGGCCACACCTTATTAATGTGTGGGAACGAGATCCCAATGCGTGGCCACGACTTAGTAAGGCGTGACAATGAGATGATTAAGTCGTGGCCACGACTTAGTAAAGTGTGGGAACGAGATCACGGCTTACTAAGTCATGGCCACGCATTAGGATCTCGTTCCCACGCTTGACTAAGTCGTGGCCAGAGCTTAATCATCTCATTCCCACGCCTTACTAAGTCGTGGCCACGCATTATTTTTATTTATACAGGATGTCACCAGCGGGGCTCCGTATTTTCACGACATGAAAAGATAATTATGACATTAAATATGTAGAATAATGCACTAAAATAAACTGTCGTGCTACTAGAGAACCTGATAGTATCAGTATAAATACAGAGTCTTTAAGAGCCACAGTGGAGATTTAAATTTAAAAAAAAAGAATTCATTTTAGAATGAAACGAAACAAACGTCACAGGTGTCAGCGGAGCTTCTAGCCAATGAGGTTTAAGCTCTGTCGTCATCGAGCCATCTCTCAGCTCGCGCAGCTCGTGGGAAGCAACTGCAGCGATTGGCTCTGAAGCTGCGCCCGCCTCGCACTCCCGAGATTATTATAATGTCATCGTGACAAAAAAACTAACCGGCATGCACCGCACCGAGCCAGGCGGCGATCGGTCTGCGCAGCGCCGTCATCTCTACTATTTTCACTCTATTGCTTCAAGGTCAAACTCCTCCTTTGAGGACAACCATCGACTCTTGAGCCTGTTTTTCTTTTCTTAGTTTCTGTTTCGTTTCCATGAAGAAAACATGAAACTGTTGAAGGAACATGAAACTCCATCACTGACAGTGAATGAGATTCTCAACTGCAATGGCAGGTAAAATCCAACCTCTTCAGATGATTCAATGTGTCTAAATACTTAAAGTACTCTAATAGTGTCCAGACTTTGCTGTAAACTTTATTTATATACTTTATTTTTTAGAAAACACTTACAACTCCCCCTCAGCTTCTGAAAAGGAAGTTGGTACAGGACAGTCAGCACCGTACAGGACCTGGCTGACTTCTTCTAAACTGCTGGCATGCTTTGTTCTAATAGCAGCGATTGGGTTACAGGCAAGTGGCATGAAATGTAGCTGTTCATGTGTTTGGTTTGTATTTCTGTATATTGACATTGTAGATATTTTAAAAAATGTTCTCTCTAATTCTTAAACCCAGCCTTACAGATAAAACATATACTGTCTAGGTTAAGTGTAACATTAGTTTCTTGTTTTATTATTTAGATAGAGACCTGCTAGTTGTATATAAACGGTTTTAGCTTAATTAAAAGTAGACCAATTGCTAATTACTGTGAATCATAATGCAATTTAAACCTGTACTAGTGTGTACACTCTTGGACTGCCCAGAAAATGGTTCTTCCTTAAATATATAAAATATTAAGGCATTTCACAAATCTAGACCTCCATCAAGTCATGTTGGCAATTATGTTGGCAACCCCATCATGTATACACATACAAGTTACTATACAATTGATATTTCATGTTTTACCCTAACAGGCTTTTGTGTGTTATGAGTTGTGTGTTGTGCTGCTCAGAAAACAACCAACTGACAAAGTTCAAAATTTCTCCCCAGATTTTCAACCAAGAGAACAGCTCTGTGAGTGACACAGGTATGTACTCTAAAATCAGAACAATGCTATAAAAATACAAAAATCACAAGTTATACAACTAATTTAATGATCCAACAGCACAAGAATTAACTGAAGAGCTTCGGATCCTGCTGATTGGAAAGACGGGTGTGGGCAAGAGTGCAACAGGAAACACCATCCTGCGCAAAAATGCCTCCAGATCTGAGATCTCATCTTCCTCTGTAACCTCACAGTGTGAAAAAGTCAGTGGCAATGTGAATGAAAGAAATGTCACTGTTATTGACTCTCCAGGTCTGTTTGACACTGACTTAACTCCAGATGAGGTTGTCAGTCGGGTTAAACTGTGCATTCCACTGTCCTCTCCGGGTCCACATGTCTTTCTAGTTGTGATTCAGTTAGGTAGATTTACAGAGGAAGAGAGAAAAACAGTTGAGATATTTCAAGAGATTTTTGGCAAGGAGTCCTCCAGGTACACCATGGTGCTGTTCACACATGGAGATCAACTTGGGAAGCAGAATATTCATCAGTTTGTACGTAACAACTCAAATCTTTTGGATTTCATCAAGAAGTGCAGCGGCCGATACCACGTGTTCGATAACAAAGATCAGGATCCGGACCAAGTCCTTCAGCTTCTGGACCAGATTGATAAGATGGTCACTGGAAATGGTGGAGAACACTACACCACAGTAATGCTACAGGAGGCTGAGAGAGCGATAGAAGCAGAGAAACAGAGGATCTTGAAAGAGAAAGAAGCACAGAGACAGAAAGAGATAGACAATCTGAGAGCACAGTTAGAGAAGGAAATGTTGGAAAATGTTTAACAGATTGACTGTGAGATACCAGATCATTATTATAGAGAGTAAAAGGCCATGGAGACAGTACACAGCCCTGAAGCCTCCTGTACATACATACTCCTGTGATAAACACTATGATGTTTTTATTGTTTCCTTCAACTCAAAAAGGCCAAAAACCACCATAAAGCTAAGTTAATGTTTAAATCCTTTAACTTTTGAAAGAGCTTGGCAATGTTCACCATATTAAACATTATATTATTAAGCTGAGCTACAATGTAAGAATAAAACACATACAAAATTGTTAGCCAGATCTAAATGTCTCAAAATGTGATCAAAAGCTTGATTAATGGCATTGTCAACTGACTGTAAGGATAATATGCACAAATACATTCATAGCATCCAAAATAAGTGCTATGGGTCTTACTTGTGGGTCTTATGGCAAAAACTTTGAGAAAGAGAAAAGAAATAGCATGAGTGGGGTGTAAGAGAAAAGCCTGAAAGTGACATTTTAGGAAAAAAAATCAGATTTTGATTGATCTTATTTATAATATTTTTGGTTATAAAAACCATTTAGGCTATTTGAGAACTTCCCACTGAGGTTGTCATACTTGCCTCTTCAACAGATCTCTCTGACTCTTCTTCAACAGGCTTAAACTCATCCTCAGCCTTTTCCTGATCTGAAAAATCTAAATCTGAATCTTCCTCAATTATTTTGTACTAAATATTCTCTGCTTTTGTTTTGTCTCCTAAAACAATACGTTATGACTTTCGTGATAGTGAAAATTATTTTAGTGTCCACTATAGTGGATATTCACAAAATAGCTGTTATTCAATCCCAGAAATTATTCAGCTGCTCTCTGAACTCATGAAATAAACCATTTTCCACTGAAAAATGGTTCTATGTGAATATCCACTATAGTGGACATTAAAATAAGGGTGCACAATTACAGTTCTGGTGTAATCGCTCCCTCTGGTGGGGTGTGGAGTGTGTCAGCTACCACCCGGAAAAAAAAGAAGAAGCAAGAAGCTGACATGTAGTGTCCTAGAAACATAATTGTACTACACTGTCACATCATTTTATTATTTAAAATAGAAATGGAACAATAAAAATGACAACTTTTACATTTTATCCTTTTTGGTTTTCATTTTTATGTTCTATTGCTTCCTGCCAAACCCCGCCTTCAAGGACAATCATTGGCTCTCGAGCCTGCTTTCCTTTTCTTGGTTAACAGTTGGCCAGCTTTTTTGGAATGGAGTAACGGGACGGCTGGTTTATGCATTTGTGTGAACACTAATCTGTGAAGAAACGAAAGAGAAATGTGTCTTTCAAGGATCACAGAACTTCATCGCTGAGGGTGAATGAGATTCTCAACTGCAATGGCAGGTAAAATCCAACCTCTTCAGATGATTTTATGTGTCTAAATACTTAAAGCACTCTAATAGAGTCCAGACACTGATATGAAATTAATGAATCTACTTATTTGTTAATTTCTTATTTATTTTCAGAAAGCAATTATAACTCTTCTGCAGCTTCTGAAAAGCAGGTTGGTACAGGACTTCCTATCATTTTGTCTTATGATCTGACAGGTCAAGATAAGATTTTTTATAAATTCATATAACAGGAGCAAATCTTACAGCATCTTCTCTCGTTAGGAATTCTTAAACTGCTCGATCAAAGTCGACAATCAACTGGCATGCCTGTTACCAAGCCACCGATGCAATGCGCACAGCTGAAATGTAAACATGTAATCAAAATCATGTTAAAATGTAAACACCACACCGTAAACACCAGCACTAACACAGCTGGGAACGCTGCATTCTAATTGCACTGAATTATGAGACGGCACGAGCAGCAAGGCATTGAGACAGCTGCCTTCAGTTTCAGATACAGTCCTAGTTCACCAGACAGCTACTGTTACTGGTGTAAAAAAGGTCAAAACAAAACTGAACTGTGATAAACTGAAAATATGAATATTATGAGAGTGCCTGTTCATCAGAGCGCCGCTGCTCCACAGTTTCAGTTTCCATTTGCTTTAGCCAGCTCCCCAACTTCATTCAACCTAAAAAACAACCACACTTTTAGCTCTGCATCCTCATTATTCACCAACATTGCTGATTTTGTCTAGTTAGGATGTTCCTGTAATACTGTTTTCTTATCTGGAGTTAGCATAAGATTATAAAATTAAGATGTGTTATTCTGTAATAGCTACTGACATAATTCAGTCCTAACTAAGTTGTCATGGTTACTAAAGAGATACGATTTCAGAGTGATAGTGTTTCTGTAATAAGGCCCCTGACTAGCTTTTTCTGTGCTGGCATGCTTTGTTCTAATGGCAGCGATTGTGTTACAGGCAATTGTCATGAAATGCATGCAGCTGTTTGTGTCTTGGTTTGTATTTCTGTACCTGGGACAAAGTAGATATTGTGTCATTCTAAACCCATGACTCAGCCACACAGATAGAAGATATACTGTGAAGGTTAACAGTAACACTATGTTCTTGTTTTCTCAGAAAAATACCTGTTAGTTGAATATAAACTGTGTATAAAGACCTGTCAGTTGAATATAAACTTAGGTTAGAAAAAATTGCTTATTACTATGAATTTTAATACAATTGTAACCTTTCTTAGTATCTACATTCTTCTATTCCCCAGACAAAGGTTTTACCTTGAATATATAAAATGCTAATGCGTTTCAACAATCTAGACATCCATCAAGCCATGTTGGCAGCCCCATCATGTATACAGACTCAAGACATGATTATATTACTCTAACAGGCTTTTGTGTGTCATGAGTTGTGTGTTGTGCTGCTCAGAAAACAACCAACTGACAAAGTTCAAAATTTCTCCCCAGATTTTCAACCAAGAGAACAGCTCTGTGAGTGACGCAGGTATGTACTCTAAAATCAGAACAATGCTATGAAAATACAAAAACACAAGTTATACAACTAATTTAATGATCCAACAGCACAAGAATTAACCGAAGAGCTTCGGATCCTGCTGATTGGAAAGACGGGTGTGGGCAAGAGTGCAACAGGAAACACCATCCTGCGCAAAAATGCCTTCAAATCTCAGATCTCTTCTTCCTCTGTAACCTCACAGTGTGACAAAGTCAGCGGCAATGTGAATGAAAGAAAAGTCACTGTTATTGACTCTCCAGGTCTGTTTGACACTGACTTAACTCCAGATGAGGTTGTCAGTCGGGTTAAACTGTGCATTCCGCTGTCCTCTCCAGGTCCACATGTCTTTCTAGTTGTGATTCAGTTAGGTAGATTTACAGAGGAAGAGAGAAAAACAGTTGAGATATTTCAAGAGATTTTTGGCAAGGAGTCCTCCAGGTACACCATGGTGCTGTTCACACATGGAGATCAACTTGGGAAGCAGAACATTCATCAGTTTGTACGTAAAAACTCAAATCTTTTGGATTTCATCAAGAAGTGCAGCGGCCGATACCACGTGTTCGATAACAAAGATCAGGATCCGGACCAAGTCCTTCAGCTTCTGGACCAGATTGATAAGATGGTCACTGGAAATGGTGGAGAACACTACACCACAGCGATGCTACAGGAGGCTGAGAGAGCGATAGAAGCAGAGAAACAGAGGATCTTGAAAGAGAACGAAGCACAGAGACAGAAAGAGATAGACGACCTGAAGACACAGTTAGAAGGGGAAATGTTGGAAAATGCAATAAAGATTCTACAGGAGCAACAAGAGAGAGAGGCAAGGGATAAAGCTGAAAGAAACAACCCATGGCTTGCCCGCATTGGTGGATTTTTATGGAAAATTATCAGTAAGGTTGTGTTTTTTTTTAAGAGAATCTGAAGGCAAAGTTTGATTGATTGATTTTTTTACTGTGGTCGGTGGTAATTCTATCCAGTCTATCAAGATGTAATTCAACCCTGTTGTAACACAATACACAAAACACTGTAACACATACACCGATCAGGCATAACATTATATCCTTGTTTCTACACTCATTGTCCATTTTATCAGCTCCACTTACTATATAGGAGCACTTTGTAGTTCTACAATTACAGACTGTAGTCCATCTGTTTCTCTGCATACTTTGTTAGCCCCCTTTAAACCTGTTCTTCAGTGTTCAGGCCCCCCATGGACCCTCACAGAGCAGGTACTATTTGGGTGGTGGATCATTCTCAGCACTGCAGTAACACTGACTTGGTGGTGGTGTGTTAGTGTGTGTTGTGCTGGTGTGAGTAGATCAGACACAGCAGTGCTGCTGGAGTTTTTAAACACTGTGTCCACTCACTGTCCACTCTATTAGACACTCCTACCTCATCAATCCACCTTGTAGATGTAAAGTCAGAGAGGTCATCCTCTAGTCCTTCATCAGTGGTCACAGGACGCTGCCCACAGGACACTGTTGGCTGGATATTTTTGGTTGGTGGACTATTCTTAGTCCAGCAGTGACACTGAGTGACACTGCTGTGTCTGATCCACTCAGACCAGCGCAACACACACTAACACATCACCACATCAGTGTTACTGCAGTGCTGAGAATGATCCACCACCCAAATAGTACCTGCTCTGTGAGGGTCCATGGGGGGCCTGAACACTGAAGAACAGGTTTAAAGGGGGCTAACAAAGTATGCAGAGAAACAGATGGACTACAGTCTGTAATTGTAGAACTACAAAGTCCACCTATATAGTAAGTGGAGCTGATAAAATGGACAATGAGCGTAGAAACAAGGAGGTGGTCATAATGTCATGCCTGATCCGTGTATACAATAAACTATATAACACAGAATTTGCAATATACAATATATTGTGGAGGAGAAAGAATAACTCTATCTGTGCATTATTACAAAGGCTGAAAATCCTATGGACAGACTATAATGATATACAGTATTCCCGAAAAGTTGATTAATACCACAATACCTTGCAAATTATTATGAGTTTGAAGATCTGTATTTCTGTACAAACTGTAATAGATGATGTAAGAACACTGTTGATCCTGGATGAATAAAATTGAACAGATCTCTTCTTACTTCATATTTTTTTGTCTCAAAAAGAACAACCTTTGTAGAGATTTTTTGATTATATGATGCAAATTAATGCTCCCACTTCAAATAATCACTAATGTAAGATCCCAAGAATTTTAAAGATTTTACAACAGATATCGACTGTCTCAAAACCTGAACTGGAGGTTTTACGTTCTGTTTCTTACTATAATCCACAATGAGCTCCACTGTTTTTGCTGTATTAAGCTGAAGGTCATTGTTAGTACACCATGTTACTGATCTGTTCACCTCCTGTGGATGACTGGTTTCATTACTATCTATAGTAAGGCCTATTATATTTCTGCTTCTTTCAGAATTTTAACAGATTGACTGTGAGACACCAGATCATTAGTATAGAGAGTAAAAAGCCATGGAGACAGTACTCAGCCCTGAGGCCCCCTGTACTAAGTGACAAACACTGTGATGTTCAATTTTTTATTTTAACTCACTGTTTCCTTCCACTTAAAAGGGTCAGAAATCAACAGCATAAAGCTAAGTTAACGTTTAAATCCTTTAACTTTTGAAAAAGCTTGGCGATATTCACCATTATAAAGCTGAGCTAAAATCTAAGAATAAAACATACAAATTTTTAGCCAGATCTAAATGTCTCAAAATGTGATGAAGAGCTTGATTAATGGCATTGTCAACAGATTGGCTCAATAAGCAAATTGATAAGAATTCTCTACTGAGGCTGTATGTGACTTACAATAGGTAAATATGCACAAATACCATCATAGCAACCAAAGTAAGTGCTATGGGCCTTGTGTGTCTCCTGAGGAAGGTGATGGAGAAAATGCAGAAAAAAAACAACGTGAGTGGGAGGAGAGAGAAAAGCCTGAAAGTGGCATTTTAAATGTTAAAAAGCATTCATTAAGTGAAATCAAATCTTAGCTTCCTTAGCCAAAGTATGAGTTCTCATTGGATGAGGGATAGTCATTTTTGGCTCCTTTGCATTCATAAAATAAGGGGCAGACGCACACTGACCTGGAAGCCCAACAAGAGCTAAGAGATACACACAAACACCAGCACGAGTGAACCAATGTGTTCTATTACACATATTTAAGTGAAACAAAAACCTACAGGACACCAGGTGGTTGGTTAGAGCCCGTTTTTAAACAGTCTATGCTCCTCTCCTCATTAGCCACAGCTGCATGAAATCAAGGGAGAGGAGCAGCTGGAATGTGTGTGGGGGAGTGGCCGCAGCGGCTCCGTCTCTCCACAGCCACACTATCTATCTATCTATCTATCTATCTATCTATATACCTTGACTCTCATCACTTCAGCGTGTTCTGTTCTCGATTGTTGTGCATAGTTCACAATTAACTGTAAATAGGACAACTATATATATATATATAATATATATATATATATATATATATATATAAAGCAGTGTTTGTGAAAGACATTCACTAAAGTTTGTATTGCATACATAAATTTGGTGTATCTGTACGATCAAACACACTTTTGTTCACAGGTTAGACATTGTATTTGTAACTCATTGTAAATGTCATGCTGTTGCCAACATGTGATTTCCCAATGTGTATCAGAATTTGCAGATTTTGTGCTTGAACTTGGTCTTCAATCAGTAATAAGTCAAAACAGACAAATGCCTGAGGATCAGATTGTCAATAACGTCAGATTTCGTAGCCATAAAAGATCAAAGTGTAGCTTATTCCATGACTGGACAGACTGTTTTATGGATAACGGTTTTGTGCTGGACTGCAACACATATTTATGTTTATTTAGGCTACGTACACAATGATTACAAATGTCAAGACTATTCATTTTTCCTTTTAAGACATATTGCACATTTCATTTTTTTATTGCTGATAAAATAATTAACTACTGTCCTAAATGTAAGGCATCTGTACAGAGCACAATCACAGGGCAACAACAATGGTAAAATCGACAATCATTTAATAAAGATTCTCAGAGCAAAAAACTCAAACTGAAGAAAAAGCAAGGCAGGTGCAATAACTCTGTAAAGGCAGACAATGACAGACGAGGCGGTCAAAGTGAGATAGGAACACTCAGGTAGGGGAGTAGGGCTGGTTAAGATCTGACAGAGACTGGAGAGCAACAGGCAGAATTTATACACTCTGAAACCAGAGGTAGAATGAGTCCAGGTGATGAGGTGAGTGGACCAATGATAGCTCTTGCACTAGTACTGTCTACATCTCTCCAGCACAAGGGTGCAAAACCAGTTTAATTGCTCCCTCTGGTGGGGGTGCCGTGTGTTTACACTCTATTGCTTCAGGCCAAACTCCTCCTTTGAGGACAACCATTGGCTCTTACGCCTGCTTTCCTTTTCTTAGTTGCTGTTTCATTTCCATGTAGAAACGAAAGACAGATGTGTGATTCAAGGAACACGAAACTTAAGAACACAAGATTCTCAACTGCAATGGCAGGTAAAACCCAACCTCTTCAGATGCTTTAATGTGTCTAAGTACTTAATGCACTCTAACAGTGTCCAATCTTTGTAGTTAATTTTATTGCTTTAATTATTTATTTACTTTTCTGAAAATATTTCTTATCTTTTCTGCAGCTTCTAATAATCAGGTTGGTACAGGACAGTCAGCACCGCACAGGACCTGGCTACCCTTTTCTACACTGCTGGTAGTCTTTGTTCTAATAGCAGCAATTGGGATACAGGTAAGTGTCATGAAATGCAGATATTCATGTGCTTGGTTTGTGTTTCCCTACCTGGGACACAGTAGATATTGTGTCATTTTTAAAAAAAATATTCTCTCAAATTTTTAAACCTGATAAAGCCCCACAGAAAAAAGATAAACTGTCTAGGTCAACTGTAACATTATGTGCTTGTTTTTTTATTCGGAAAGAGACCTTTCAGCGGTACATAAACTTCTTTTTAAAGTTAAAAATGTAGAGTAAACGCTAATTACTACTGTAATGTGGCAGGACAGACCAGACGCTCACAGTAAAAGCAAAAGTTGGAGGCTTTAATGTAACAAGGATCAATTAAACATGACATTGTAAAACAGACAACAGTCAAAACCACAGAGAGGCTGCCAACAATCATGAGAGACCTTAAAGAGGTGGTCGAGAAACAAGCTGAGGTCAAAACCGAGAGGCAAAACACGAAAATAAGTAGAATAAACCAAAAAGGATTGAGACAAAAAACTTGTTTGAACAGGGCCAGTAAATCACAATGAATGAACAGGGTGAAGTTAATGACAGTTAACAGCCTAATTCAGGCGACCAGGATCTGGAGAGTGGTTGCTGATTGGCTGATGCAGGTAGGGTGAGCGTCACATGCTCTCTCGATCTCCCAGAGTCCAGGAGAGAATCAATGTCTGGAGTGTTTACCGACTGTGTTGGCAACCCCATCATGTATACACAAACGAGTTACTATATGATTGATATTTCATGTTTTACTCTAACAGGCTTTTGTGTGTTATGAGTTGTGTGTTGTGCTGCTCAGAAAAACAACCAACTGACAAAAGTTCAAAATTTCTCCCCAGATTTTCAACCAAGAGAACAGCTCTGTGAGTGACACAGGTATGTTCTCTAAAATCAGAACAATGCTATTAAAACACAAAAACGCAAGTTATACAACTAATTTAATGATCCAACAGCACAAGAATTAACCGATGAGCTTCGGATCCTGATGATTGGAAAGACGGGTGTGGGCAAGAGTGCAACAGGAAACACCATCCTGCGCAAAAATGCCTTCAGATCTGAGATCTCATCTTCCTCTGTAACCTCACAGTGTGAAAAAGTCATCAGCAATATGAATGAAAGAAAAGTCACTGTTATTGACTCTCCAGGTCTGTTTGACACTGATTTAACTCCAGATGAGGTTGTCAGTCGGGTTAAACTGTGCATTCCGCTTTCCTCTCCGGGTCCACATGTCTTTCTAGTTGTGATTCAGGTAGGTAGATTTACAGAGGAAGAGAGAAAAACAGTTGAGATATTTCAAGAGATTTTTGGCAAGGAGTCCTCCAGGTACACCATGGTGCTGTTCACACATGGAGATCAACTTGGGAAGCAGAACATTCATCAGTTTATACGTAACAGTTCAAATCTCTTGGATTTCATCAAGAAGTGCAGCGGCCGATACCACGTGTTCGATAACAAAGATCAGGATCCGGACCAAGTCCTTCAGCTTCTGGACCAGATTGATAAGATGGTCACTGGAAATGGTGGAGAACACTACACCACAGCGATGCTACAGGAGGCTGAGAGAGCGATAGAAGCAGAGAAACAGAGGATCTTGAAAGAGAACGAAGCACAGAGACAGAAAGAGATAGACAAACTGAGGGCAGAGTTAGAAGGGGAAAAGTTGGAAAGGGCAATAAAGATTGAAAGGGAGAAACAGGAGAGAGAGGCAAGGTATGAAGCTGAAAGAAGCAGCTCTGTGTTTACCCGCATTGGTCAATTTTTATATAAAATTGTCCGTATGTTTTTTTAAAAACGATTTTAAGAGAATGAATCAGGAAGGACACAGGACAGAAAGAGATAGAAGATCTGAAGGAAAAGTTTGATTGATTTTTTTTATTGCCAATAACATGGTGGTAATTCTGTCTAGTGCATCAAGATGCAGTTCAACTCTGGTGTAGTATAATACACATAAAATTACAATGTAACACATATAAAACAAACAATGTGCAATATGCAATGTACAAAATATTGTGTAGGAGATACTTGAAAAAATTTACATCATTTAGTATAGAAGAATCATGAAAAATCCAACAGTAATTGTAACTGTGCATTGTTACAAAGGCTGGAAATCTAACGGACAGACTACAATGATGTTCACAAAAGTTTTTTAACCTTATATACTATCCAGAGGAGTTTATTAACCTTGTACACTGCTAACAACTGTTTATTAACCTTAACATAGTAGGAAAAACTGTTCTCGAAATAGTTTTTAAAGATCTGTAGCGCCTCTCAGAAGAAATTGGCTGGAAAAGATGCTGAATCAGAGGAATGTGTAATTATTTTCTTTACTTGCTTTGGAGTTTGCTGAGTAGAAATGGAGTGAATTGAAGGAAGAAGTATTCCAGTTATCTTTGAAGCTTTACCCACGATACCTTGCAAATTATTATGAGTTTGAAGATCTGTATTTCTGTACAAACTGTAATAGATGATGTAAGAGCACTGTTGATCTTGAATAAAATTTAACAGTAGATCTTCTTACTTCATATTTTTTGTCTCAAAAAGAACCTTTGTAGAGATTTTTTGATGAGATGATGTGAAGTAATGCTCTCCTTCAAATAATCACTAATGTAAGATCCCCAAAATTTGAAAGATTTTACAACAGATATCGACTGTCCCAAAACCTGCACTTCACATTCTATTTCTAACTATAATCCACAATGAGCTCCACTGTTTTTGCTGTATTAAGCTGAAGGTCTTTGTTAGTACACCATGTTACTGATCTGTTCACCTCCTGTGGATGACTGGTTTCATTACTATCTGTAGTAAGGCCTATTATATTTCTGCTTCTTTCAGAATTTTAACAGATTGACTGTGAGACACCAGATCATTAGTATAGAGAGTAAAAAGCCATGGAGACAGTACTCAGCCCTGAGGCCCCTGTACTAAGTGACAAACACTGTATTGTTAAATTTTTTATTTTAACTGACTGTTTCCTTCTTAATGTTTCAATCCATTAACTTTTGAAAGAGTTTGGCAATATTCACCATATTAAAAATTATATTATAAAGCTCAGTTAAAATCTAAGAATAAAACACATACAAAATTGTTAGCCAGACCTAAGTGCTCTTCATCAAAATATGATGAAGAGCTAAATTAATGGCATTGTCAACATACTGTTTAGCACGATAAGTGAATTGATAAGAATCCAATACTGAGGCTGTATGTGACTTAAGATGGGTAAATATGCTCAAATACCTTGATAGCAACCAAAGTAAGTGAGAAAAGCCTGAAAAGGGCATTTCAAATGTTAAAAAAATCAGACTTTGATTGACCTTCTTTTTTGTGATATTTTTGATTATAAAAAAAACATTTAGGCTATATGAGAACTTCCCACTGAGGCTGTCATACTTGCCTCTCCACCAGGTTTAAACTCATCCCCAGCTTTTTCCTCATCTGATAAATCTAAGTCCGAATCTTCCTCAATTATCTGTACTAAATCTTCTTTGCTTCTCCTCTATCTCTTAAAACAATGTATTAAGACTTTAGTGACAGTAAAAGACATGAAGATCATCTTGGTGTCCACTATAGTGGTACAAAAACATTTGTTAATCAATCACAGAAACAATTTAAATGCTCTCTGACCTCATTAAACAAACCATTTCCCACTGAAAACAGCACCAAAAGGGTTCTGCTATTGTTACAATAGCACTGCTGTGTCTGATCCACTTGTACCAGCACAACACACACTAACACACCACCACCACGTCAGTGTTACTGCTGTGCTGAGAATGATCCACCACCCAAATAGTACCTGCTCTGTGAGGGTCCATGGGAATCCTGACCACTGAATAACAGGGTAAAAGTGGGCTAACAAAGTATCAGAGAAACAGATGGACTACATTCTGTAATTGTAGAACTACAAAGTGCACCTATATAGTAAGTGGAGCTGATAAAATGGACAATAAGCGTAGAAACAAGGAGGTGGTCATAATGTTATGCCTGATTGGTGTATACATATATATGAACATACCTCAAGTCTCATCGCTTCATCATGTTCTCCCAGTTAAGCTTTATTTCTCCTTTATTATGCAAAGTTTGCAATTAACTATAAATAAGACAACAATCTATCTGTAAAACACTGTTTGTGAAACACATTCACTAAAGTTAAACATGACTGCAAAGTTTCAAATCCCATCATAAAATGAGTATACAAAAAATTTACTAGTGTTCATAAATTTGTTGTATATGTGCAATCATACTCACATCTGATCACAGGTTTGAGCAAAATAGTTTAAAAACCTCAAATTAAAAGCTTAATTCATGATTGAATCATCCAACTCACTATAAATATCATCAATAATATAAATAAAAAAAGAAAATAACCATGGTTTCAATAATAATTGTGCACATGGGAATCCTTGTAATAAAAGCTCAGGTAATTCAGTTTGCTGTTGCCAACATGCGATTTTAGAAATTGCAGATTCTGGGCTTAAACTTGGCCTTTTGGTCAATAAGAGTCAAAATAGACAAACGCTTGAGGATCAGATTGCCAATAATGTCAGATTTAGTAGTGCTGGACTGCAACACATATTTATGTTTATTTGTACACACTGATGAACAAATGTCAAGACTATTAATTTTTCCCTTAAGATATTTTGCACTTTTCTTCTGTTTATACTACTCATAAAATAATTAAATTATTGGTGTCTGTACTGAGCACAGTCACAAGGCAACCCCAATGGTGAAATAAACAATAATTTTATAAAGATTCACAGAGCAAAAACCTCAAACTAGAGCAAAAAAAGGCAGGTGCAATAACTCTGTAAAGGCAGACAATCACAGGCAGTCAACGTGAGACAGGAACGCTCAGGTGGGGGGAACAGGGCTGGTTAATAACTGAGAAAGACTGGAGAGCAACAGACATAGTCTCTGAAATGAGCCACAGGTAAAACGTTAGCTCTTGCACTAGCACTCTTTCCCTCTCTGCAGCGCACGAGTGTAATTGTTTCCTCTGGTGGGGGTGCAGGGTGTGACAAAAAACACAACTTAAGAGTAGCAAAAACAAGCAGTGTTCTAGAAACACAATTATACTACACAATCACACTATTCTATTACTTCATATAGAAATCAGAAAACAAAAATGACAAATTTCACATTTTATTTCTGCCTTTTACGCTCTATTGCTTCAGGCCAAACTCCGCCTTCGACCACTGGCTCTTGTGCCTGCTTTCATTCTCTTAGTTTCTGTTTCATTTCCTTGAAGAAACAAAAAGAGAACTCAAGGAGCACGAAACTCTGTCACTGAGAGTGAATGAGATTCTCAACTGCAATGGCAGGTAAAATCCAACCAATTTGATGTGTCTAAATACTTGAAGCACTCTAATACTGTCCAGACTTCGCTGTAAACTTGATTTATTTTTATCATTTTTTACTTAACTCAACTGCAGCTTCTGAAAAGCAAGTTGGTAAAGGACAGTCAGCACCGTACAGGACCTGGCTGACTTCTTCTAAACTGCTGGTTCTCGTTATTGTAATGGTAGCGATTGGATTACAGGTAAGTGTCATGAAATGCAGCTATTTATGGGTTTGGTTTGTATTTCTGTACCTGGGACATAGTAGATATTGTGTCATTTCTAAAACCATGATTCAGCCTCAGATAAAAGACAAAAGACATACTGTCTAGATTGTCTAACATTATTATTATTATTTTTTATTCAGAAAGAGACATGTTAGTAGTACATAAACTTCTTATTTCGTTAAAAAAGTAAAGTAAATGCTAATTATCATTGTAATGTGGCAGAACAGACCAAAGCAAAAGTTGGAGTTAATGTAACAAGGACCAATTAAACATGTAGTAAAACATGCAGGGGTCAAAACCAGATAGAGACTATCATTAATCATTAGAGACATTAAAGAGATTGTCAGGAAACAAACCGAGGTCAAAACCGAGAGGCAAAACATGAGAATAAGTAAACAAAATGGACAAAGACAAAAAAAACAAGCAGGACACCGAGTAGCAGTAGAGAGAAGAATGCACTCTATTCACTTGTACAAACAGGGGCAATACTTCACAATGAATGAACAGGATGGACCAGTTTTATGGGGTGAAGTTAGTGACAGTCGGCCGGTTAGAATTCAGGTGACCTGGATCTGGAGAGTGGTCGCTGACTGGCTAATGCAGGTAGGGTGAGCGTCACATGCTCTCTTGCAGGATGCTTGCAGGTGGAGTGCAGGGGCCATATTACGTTAAGACTGAAGTTAAGACTGAAGTTAACACTGAAGTTAGGACAGAAGCCATTACAGAACAACAGTTCTTAAGTCTATAATCTTATCTTATTTCCAGATAAGAAAACGGTTTTACAGAAACACCTTAAGTTACCAAAATATCCTAAATGTTTTCTTAACTTTAAGATAAATCCCAGATCTGTCTTAACCGCTGTTTTATTTGTCTGTTTCTGTTGTTTTATGCAGTGATAGGCAGCAGTTCACTATAAGCAGCATAATGACGTTACATTTTTCTACACTGAAAATGGTGCTTTGACTTGGGAGTTCTTTTTCTAACAGCGTTTAAAAGCCCCAGAAGCTCAGACATGATCTCCACCATCCCCTCTTATTACCTTTGTGTGTTATTGTTGATGATAAAATATTGCAGTGATGGTGGTGAATAATGAGGAGACAGAGCTGATCGTGTCTGTTTATTAGGAAGAATAACATTAGCGCGCTCGGCTAAAGCATTTGGGAAATGAAACTGAAACTGTGGAGCGGCGATGCTCTGATAAACAGCATGAAGCACTGGCACAATATTCTTAACTTTCAGTTTATCGCGCTTTAGTTTTATTTGACTTTCTTTACACCAGTAACGACAGCTAACGTTAGCTGTCTGACTAACCAACTTGATTACATGATTACGTGCCAGCTGTGCGCATATGGTTGGTTGCTAGGTAACAGACACGACAGTTGATTGTCGACGTCCATCGAGTAAGTTAAGATTTCATAACTTGGGATAAGAAAAGATTCTTAAATTAAGATAAAATTTGCTTCTGTAATACGAATTTGTGAAAAATCTTATCTTGACCTGTCAGATCTTAAGTTAAGACATATCTTAAGTTTCTGTAATACGGCCCCAGGAGAGGATCAGAGTGTTTACCAACAATGTTGGCAACCCCATCATGTATACACATACAAGTTACTATATGATTGATATTTCATGCTTTACTCTAACAGGCTTTTGTGTGTTATGAGTTGTGTGTTGTGCTGCTCAGAAAACAACCAACTGAAAAAGTTCAAAATTTCTCCCCAGACTTTCAACCAAGAGAACAGCTCTGTGAGTGACGCAGGTATGTACCCCAAAATCAGAACAATGCTATAAAAATACTAAAACACAAGTTATACAACTAATTTAATGATCCAACAGCACAAGAATTAACCGATGAGCTTCGGATCCTGCTGATTGGAAAGACGGGTGTGGGCAAGAGTGCAACAGGAAACACCATCCTGCGCAAAAATGCCTTCAGATCTGAGATCTCCTCTTCCTCTGTAACCTCACAGTGCGATAAAGTCAGTGGCAATGTGAATGAAAGAAAAGTCACTGTTATTGACTCTCCAGGTCTGTTTGACACTGACTTAACTCCAGATGAGGTTGTCAGTCGGGTTAAACTGTGCATTCCGCTGTCCTCTCCGGGTCCACATGTCTTTCTAGTTGTGATTCAGCTAGGTAGATTTACAGAGGAAGACAAGAAAACAGTTGAGATATTTCAAGCGATTTTTGGCAAGGATTTCTCCAGGTACACCATGGTGCTGTTCACACATGGAGATCAACTTGGGAAGCAGAATATTCATCAGTTTGTATGTAAAAACTCAAATCTTTTGGATTTCATCAAGAAGTGCAGCGGCCGATACCACGTGTTCAATAACAAAGATCAGGATCCGGACCAAGTCCTTCAGCTTCTGGACCAGATTGATAAGATGGTCACTGGAAATGGTGGAGAACACTACACCACAGCGATGCTACAGGAGGCTGAGAGAGCGATAGAAGCAGAGAAACAGAGGATCTTGAAAGAGAACGAAGCACAGAGACAGAAAGAGATAGATGACTTGAGAGCACAGTTAAAAGAGGAAGAGTTTGAGAGACAGAAAAAGAAGATAGAGAAACAACATGAAGACGAGGCGAGAGAAAAGGCTGAAAGAGGCAGTTCATATGTTGACAAGATCTTTCAGATTTTGATTGAACTTGTTTTACGATATTTTGGGTTACACAAAACATTTTCTGAGAACTTTTCACTGAAGTTGTTACTCACCATATAGCTCAAGAAAATAAAAGAATGGGACACCATGCAAAATAAACTGAATATAATAAGGGCCAGTTGTGTTTATGGTTTATAACAGGTTATCGTTTAGCTTTCTTTAGGTTCCTTTGCTGTAAGTATCTCCAAAATCAGCTCCAGTTTTAGAGGGGTTTAAAGCTGAGACCAAGACTTCCACTATGTCTTTAAACGACATTACTGGGATGTTTTCACAAATTGCAGTGGGCCTGGTATTCTTGAAACTGACATACTGAGCTTTACTTATAATGGTAACACACAGCCTGTGTCCACTTTGCAGTTCAGTTTGGTGCCATTGATACTCATGACGTTTGTATAGGAGGTAGCTTTGGCTCTATATACCTTCTTAAAGTGACCTTTCCCACATTTACAGTACGTCTATAGATCTGTGCTCCGATGCTGAATGCTGACCTATGCACCTGTGGCATAGCGGCCCTTGAATCAATGAACTTGAAGGCTTTTGCACCACCTTTTTGTGTGCTTGTCCCATTTTAGATTTGACAACCCAACTTCATCTGTCCATGAATCCTGTAACTCTTTAACACATCTATTAGCAGTTTTAAGTTGCTTTGTGTCTACAGGTGTAACACAGAAAGAAAATTATTGGAGAGCATGTGTTATATTTTAGATGAATAAAGCATTTAATCAGATGATTTTTGTTGAATGTTGAATTTAATACCCTATACAGTTCTGTGAATTTAGGTCATATTTACTTACATTTATTTTTAGCAATACATATGAATCATATGTTGTTGAAACTTGTTCTATTAAAAGTGTTATAACAAAGAAGAAGAGCTGCCTATTTGAATTTTATTTCAGAGATGCAACACTTACAACAGCATGTAGTGCATTGAACAGTCAGCTGTCCTCAGTGACGGGCTTACCACCCACCTTTATTTAAAATTTTAAAATGCCCATAAAAAATCGTGGTGGAAAAGCCAGGAATCTGAATATGTGCCAAATATTGCAAAAACATTTTTACACTTGGATGAGGTTAGATTTTTCAATCCATGAGAAATGCAGAAAACTGCTGGAAACAGATGTCTCCAGTAAAGTGGGACAGTTAGTTCAGCCCTCATTAAAGGGGAATTCACTGAACTGATTTTGCAAGAATGAGCAGTCAGAAGCTGACAGTACAAGCAAAGTAAGCACATTCACTTCCCACACGTTCTGCATTTGTCCATCTTACGGCAAAGGAAAGTGAATAACCTTACAGCAGTGCTATCCATAGGCCCACATGTAGGCTGCATAGCCTGCTTGCTGCATGCATGTATACTCAGAAGAGTGTGCAATGGGGCAGGCAAAACCCAGCACCGTAATCAGTGGAACCAATAAAAATTCTTCTGGCTATCACTGAGTTTTGAACTGGGCAAACCAACTCTCTGTATAACCCTCCACCTGAAGCCAGGGCTGAACCTGTTGGGGAAGGAGGGGATCTGTAAATTCAGTTCATTTCTGCTTATGAGACGCGTGGTGGCGTTAACTAAGCACCTGCTGCCAGCACACGTTCTAAGATGTCTGGCGGCGCCTTGCGTTTAACTGACGGCAAAATGAAAACCCATAACCGCCGCCCTGGACGGTGTTTTTAAACATAGCACGTGCTTTATACGCCATCAAAACCCTGACAAATTCTGATCCTCTTGGCTTGCCATAAACCCAAACAGCACAAAACTCGCTCAGGGCGGAGAGGTACATGCAGGGCGTTGTAAGAAAAAACAGTACCCAAACAACATATTTTTTTCGAATTTAGTACTATTTAACCATTATCAGCATAGACATAGAACATCTTATAAGACACAAATAAGTTCACTGGTCATTTTGGATAGCAGAGAAATAGGTGATTTTGTAGTGTAGACATACAGACATCTGGTTCCTAGTACTAAAATGGTAAACAATTTTAACTCTGTAAATTTCTCTAGAAAGGCACAATTCAAACCAAACTACTCTGAATGATTTTGTTTACATCTAAACGCTTGAATGATTAAGTAATTTTGCAAAATCGGTGGAGTTCCCCATTAAATGGGCCACTGCCTGCCTCACACAGCAGCTCTGACTTGTTAGGGCTACAGTCATGTACAGCTGATGGAGGGCTGTCAAAACTGCTCTAAGGTAAGCTACTAAAGGTTCAAGTCCATGTTTGGGCATCCCGCCCCTGGTCACATGACATAGATTGTTTTTTATTTAAAAAAAAAACATTTTAAGCTGTGTCAAAGCAAGGATTTAAATACTTGTGTATTCAGATGTTTCTTTGTTCTGTTTTTGTAGCAGCCGGGTGCGCAGTTATTGCGACTGGGGGCCAGGAGGGGGCAGTCTCTGCGTGTGAGCAGACTAAAGCCGATGAGTTTAAACCTGCTTTTTCCCTTGATCCTTTTTATGTTCTCCCACCCAACAGTGAGATGCCAGAAAAAAAGGCTGAAAATCTGAACAAGGTTCTGTATGTTTGTTCTGTTCCTCCTGCTGTTGGTAAAATGTGCCCAAAGGTCCAATTCAAATAAAATAAGCTTTTTATGTAGTCAAATGTGTGGATTTCTTGTTTGCTTCCACATAGAATACTTTGAGCTGAGATCAAAAAATTAAATACAAAAGAGTGAAATGCAAAATATTACATAGCTTCTGAAAGGACATAGTATATAGTGCTCACCTGATATTATCTGGTGCTCACCACATAGTACCTTATGCTCATCTGACAGTATCTGCTGCTCACTTCATAGTATCTAGTGCTCATCAGATTTCCACCTGAAGAAAAAATACATCATTTCAGATGCTCCATAAAACATGAAGGGTCTAGAATGATTTTTTTTGTAGGCACTATTAAGCCAGAATCATTGCTCAAGACAGACATACGTGTAATCTGAACACAATTCATTAAGCTTAATGGGTATGTAGACAGAAAATAAATTAATAAAGTTGGCAATTAAGAAAACAAACTTTCAGTAGACAAAACAGTCAAACATTAAGCTCAAAACAAAAGGAGCAGCTTTAAATTGGCTTCCCTAGAAAAAATATAAATTGCATGTAGATTAATACACAGGAAAAAATCTAAAATCAATTCAACTTAAAAGTAAAAGTGTTGCATTCTAAAATACATTAACTACCAGGTTCAAGACTTTTCTTTTTTCTAAACGGAAATGTACATTGTTGGGAGTAGGCTACACATACATAAAATATCAGGGTTATATTAAGATTTATACTCCTTTAATTAATAAAAGTGTGTTTTCCATTAAACATCAGTTCTTATTCTATTCAAAAACTTCTTATATCCAAAATTGTTACAAATGGATATATAGCATTTTGAAATTAAGCTCTTCAACTATATATCAAGTTTATTCATACTTTTATTTATCTAATTTTATATATTATAGCATTTTATAATTTTAAATTAACCTGACTTTCTGTTTTACTCTGCAATGCAAGAAAAAAAAGATCCACTTGTCTTTAGTACATACTTTGCCATGCCTCAGGTGTGGCAAAACTGAAGGGTAACCTCCCTTCCTCCCTCTAAGGTGAACAAGGACAGAATTAGGGTGGTGAAAAAAAACCCTTTAAGAAACTCTCAAAATGTGCCAAGAATGAAACCACAGGGCTAACATCCTAATTCCAAAACTCAGCCTCAGTGAAGACTCAGTGTCAAACCCTGTTCAAACTGTCAGTCATAAGACAATAAAGGACGATGCACAAACGCCCTGAACATTAATCAAAGTAAACACCATAGAGGAGACAGTTTCACATTGAAAACAAAAGTATGGGGGTGTGTATCATGATGTGAGCACATAAACGCAGGCCACTACATTGTAACGTATCAAACACTTCACCGACCCACACAGACTCGGCAGTGCAAATGGCTACAATGGAAACTGAGGAAGGTAAGATCATGTTAAACTACAGAACTTTATAGTTTCTATAAGTGCTTGTTGGAACTGGAAGGTTGTTTTAATATTAGTAAGTTTAGTAGCAGTGTAATTGTGGTGAAAGTATGTTTTGTTGGTTTTCTAAGTGAAATAAGTTAACACATCCTCTGCAGAGACACATTTAAACATTTAAATATGGCATTCCCTTTGCAAATGAAAATTTTTTGAGTTTAACATCTTGGGAAAAACGTGTGTGTGTGTGCGTATATGTGTGTGTGTGTGTGCGTGCCCATAAAAAGATAACATTTTTATATTTTCCATTAAAACACAAAAACATTTATTCATGGCAGAAAATATGTGTTTCAGTAGTAACAATTCTTAATATTACACGTTGGGATCAAACTGCTCCCTATGTGGCCATAAGAGATAGAGATACAGTCTCACTTCCTGCTCTACAATGCAGGGGTGTGGATAAAATAAGCCTCCGACAATGAACTAAAACTCTGTGTTTTAGTAGGGACATGAAAACACAGGACAGCAAATTTTTAATAAATAATAAAAAATCCTGGTAAATATCTTAGGTCTGTTTTTTTTTTCAGTGGGACTGCAATTTGAACCAATTTGGTAGAGAGGTCTATATGTATGTAGATTCTTGCTGTCGGAAGAAAACCTCGTATCTCCATTTTTGTCATTTATAAGCTTTTGACATAATTTGAAAATGCCTGTTGTTCTTTACATTGTGTGTAAATTTCATGAAGTATGGACCGAAAGAAACGGCCCAAAATGACTTGCAAAATGTCTGGTTCCATTGACTTACATTAAAAAGTAAAGTAGGTTTTTTCCTTCCCCTGTAAAGTTTGCAGTTTTTTTTATACCTTAGCACATGATAATTCTGCAGTCAGTCAGTTAAAAATAATTTAAAAAAAATTAAATTACTCATGCCCTTTTAGATTTTTCCTACTATTAGCCTCATTGTTATCAAGGACACAATATACATTTTTCAAATGTTCAGCGTAAATGCTATTTTCAGAAACTAAAGATTTGATAAAATGTTTAGCTGTAGTGTGTCTGCAGCAGGGGTGTCCAGTCTAAAAGAAGCACAAATGATCATTTGTTTAAAGACTGAGACCAGCTGTTTAAAGACATATTTGGAATGAAAACCTGCAGCCACACCAGCTGTTTGCAGATAAGACTGGACACTGCTGTTCTAAGGTGATGTTTTTAATCTTTATATAGAATTTCTTTAAGCTAAATTATTTCCCTTTTTATGAAAGTAAAGAAAAATTAGTCACTCAGGGCACTGTAATCAAACCTAATGCAAAAATAAGTCAAGCCACTTGTGGCCACTTATGACTAAATGAACATAAATGAAAAGAACATTGTAAACATAGGAAAGATACCAGCAGGGAACGGCTGCAAGGTGTTTGTAAAATGCAAAAGGGCCGTGTTACTTGCTAAGTAAATGCAAAAGTAATGGCTCACCTGTACTTCACTCGTCTGAAAGATGAAAAGAGTAACAGGGAACTGTTTGGATAGACTGGAGTGGGAAAAGAAGCATTTATAACTGAATGGTGTGACCTCCGACTGATATAGTCAAAGAGAGTGTTGGTGTTATTGACACATCAGGTCTTCTCAAGTCCCAGAGAAAAAGAAAGATCAGGTTCTGTAAATCTCTTGGTGTTTCTCCAGCTGAGAAGAGTCAATGGGAAAGAGAAAAAACAATCGGTGAAGATTTTTGGTGAGAGTTTCTCACAATACTCCATTGTCCTCTTTAACCGAGCAGGCAGATGGCCAAACAAACAAGCTGAAGAGTACATATGAATTTGTTTATTAAGTGCTGACCTGAGAATTTAATCTGAATGACCAGTGGAAGATACTCTGTCATCAACAACAAAGAAATCAGACTGCTCAAGCAGATAGATCAAATATTTACTGAAAAAAGAGAGAAAGAGAACAAAAAAACGCTAACTGAAAGCTGCTATGGGTACTGGATTAGCTGGTACAGCAATACAAACCACACCTTGAAACGATTTGACAAGGTTTACTAAACTTAACATGTAGAAGGAGATGTAGAACTCTGGGAATTCTGAGTGGACATCTCGGTGTACATGTGGATATGAAAGGGACAAGTAAACAGCATGAAAACAGGCATGCTTGAATGGGTATGAAGCTAGATATTGGTGAAATAGTACATCATCTTTTTCCTAAACTTTAGATATACTAGATTTAACTCATTAAGCACTTAATAAGCTTTCCTTTTCAAACCTACTTTGTTTTCCATTTTTGAATAAAGGTTGACCTAATTCCCAAAGCTTATTCAAACCCGACATACAGTACTTTTCTCAGGGTACTCCTATGCTTTTCAAAATAAAGGATGTAATATGATTCTTGGACATAACTGCTGTACATAAAAATGTTCTTCCTTACTTGAATATATGTCTTGTGAATGGAAATAAATAGCATACGTTTTAATGGGACGTATTTGAAACAAATGAGCTATTCAGAACAATTCTTTGCAGGAGCAAAGGAGCACCTGAGACTGGTGTTGGTCGGCCTTCAGGGAGTGGGCAAGAGCGCCACAGGAAACACCATCCTGGGTAGAGAAGAGTTCCAGTCGGACATCAGTTCCACCTGCCTGACACTGCGGAGTAAAAGCAGTGAAGGCCTGGTGTGTGGGGGACTGCTGACAGTGGTGGACACTCCAGGTCTGTTCAGCTGCAAGCTCTCAGATGCAGAGGTGAAGCAAGAACTGGAGAGAGCCTTGACCCTCTGTGCTCCTGGACCCCACACCTTTCTCATCGTCATCCAGCTGGGACGTTTCACAGAGCAAGAGAGGGCTGTAATGGACAAACTGAATGAAATGTTGGGCTCAAATGTACATTTGTACTCTATGGTGCTCTTCACTTATGGAGACAGGCTTAAGAATAAAACAATAGATCAGTTTGTCAAAGAAGACAAGAACTTGAAGACACTGATAAGCAAATGTGGGGGACAGTACCATGTGTTCAGTAATACTGATATGGAAAATAAAGCACAGGTCAGTGAGCTTTTGGACAAGATCCACAATCAGATGACAAAGAGAAAACAACCATTTTATGTAAAGAGTGTGACAAAAGTGCAGAATACATGGAAAACCATTATCTACATTGCTGCACCTTTTGTCATATTCTTGGCAATTTCAGCTATGATCGTATTTATCAAGAGGCACGTACCAGCAGAATCAGTTACTAAACAGCCTATAAAGGTTTTAGAGCAACCTGAGAAGGCTTTTGAGCCAATTCTAGGGAAGCCTGAGACACTTTTAGAGTACGGTCCTGATGAGGATTTGGAACAAAGTGCAACACTTTGGAAAATGCTACTAGGTGTAGTAAACAACAAGCCAAAGCTGATTTCCACAGCTGTAGTGGGGTTTGGAGCAGGCTTGTGGATTCTGAAGAAATTCTTGAAAAAGTAGTTCCTGTAGGAGATCTGCACTGTGATATAAAAACAATAACAAAATGGTTACGCAGTGCAGATACTAAATGCTGGTGAGGAGAAAACCAATAATACCAATTATTGCTGTCTGCACATGTATAAAGGCTGGGTGAACTGCAGTTGCTCAGTTGGCATAGTTCTCCATAGTGATGTATGTCCCTTAAATGTGCCTGAATAAAGGCTTAAATATGTAGCCATATATACAAGAGTTCACTTTTATGTCAATAGTCTTCTGTTATGCCACACTATGTAACATGTTTATTTCACATTTCCTTTGTGTAAAATATAACAGAATGTAATTCATTTGGACTGACTACAGTGAAATAAAACAAGCTTATTAAAAATGTTTTACTATGCTTCTTCTTTTTTGAAATATTGTAATCTTATTTCTTTGTGTAATCTTTTACATTTAGTTTATGAATCATGGACTCATTACCATATTTCAAGGAATCTCAGGACTATTTGATGAATAAGGGATATGTTGGGAAATCTATGCCAAAATCCACACTTAGAGGTTTAGATAAAGTTGTGTGCTGCTTAAACCCCAATATAACCCCAGTCTCATGTCATGTTCACACTATGAATATTTTGTGGTTGTTGCCCCAAGTTAAACAAATGTATTTTACGTCACTAAAAGTTGATGATTATGTCTCTGTTTTCTTTAAACAGTGCATGACAAACAGAATTCATGTAAAGAACTCAGGATAGTTCTTTTGGGAAAGACTGGAGTTGGGAAAAGCGCTGCTGGAAACACCATCCTGGGAGAAGAAGCCTTTAAATGTGATTTATCAGCGTCATCCGTGACGGACGCTTCCTGTAAGGTCACAAAGGACGTGAACGGATGGAAAGTCACTGTTATTGACACGCCAGGTCTTTTCGACCCAAGTTTTACCTTAGAGGAGACGGTCAATAGGATCAAGCTTTGCTTCCCTCTCTCTGCCCCTGGCCCACACGCCTTCCTGATGGTGGTGCAGCCAGGCAGGTTCACTCAGGAAGACTGCAAGACCGTTGAGATCTTTCTGAAGATCTTTGGGGAAGAGGCCAGCAGACACACTTTGGTTCTCTTCACCCATGGAGACAAACTTGGGGAGAGGAGCATTCATGAATTTGTTAGTTGCAGCCCAGACCTGGAGACATTCTTCAACAAAAGCAGCCAACGACATCATGTTCTCAACAATGAGCTGAAGGATTCCACTCAGGTAGACCAGCTTCTGGAGAAGATTGAAAACATGGTGTCTGAGAATGGAGGAAGCTATTATACCAACAAAATGCTCCAGGAGGCAGAACGAGCAATCAAAGAAGAGAAAAGACGGATCCTGAAGGAAAATGAAGTGAACAGACAGTTGGAGGCACTGAAGAACGAAGTCCAAGAAGTTAGGAAGGAGCTGTGGGAAAGACGAGAGAAAGAGGCAAGAGAGCAAGCAGAGAAGAATAACAAGTATATAATCATAATTACACAAATGTTGTGGGATATTCTTGAGAAATACATCACAAAGAAGAAATAAAGGACATTTTTCTAATATGATTTTCTTTTATCATGTAAACAAGACATTTACTGTAAGATTTACCTTTGCTTGATTTCTGCCATTACACAAATGCAACGATCATTTTTAGCACCAATAAAATGTTTAAAAGAACAATCAAAGAGAATATCAAACCATTAATTACTATCTATTTTGCTACATGTGAATAAGAAGCCACTTGATGAAAGTAAGAAACGGTGAGATGAAAACAAACTACATTTTTCATTTGTGACAAAAAATAAAAAGCTTTTCTTAAATGTCACATGATTTCAAAATAAGTGATTTAATGACATACTTGCCAAATAAAGATATAATTGTACTGGATGACTTGAATTATCAGACACAATGAAGACATGGTTTGACAAGTTTGGTGTGAAGGAACTTCAGTAGTCTGCACAGAGCCCTGACCTCAACCCCATTATCTCCTTGGAAATACTGATAAACCACATTTTGCATTAAGCACCATGATATCTCACCCATATTATCTCTTTTTAAATTGTAGGAACATCTTACAAGTCAACAAACACTTGCTAACACTACAACACAGTTTCGTTGCAATACAGTTATCTGTAATGAATAATGCATGAATACACTTCATTACTAATGAATGAACATGAGAAGGAATTACTTGATCCATCAGTAGCTAGGATTGGATAATATAATTTTACACAAGGAATGTGCAGATTAACTAATAACTACTAGGAATTATGAATAATCATGAAAAATCAGATCACGAATGATCAGATCATGAATAAACAATTAAAACTCATGGCTCAAATCATCAACAAAAATAATAAATGTTACGTACAAAATATGCAATATATGTTAAGTACAATATGCAGATTGCACAATTTGGTAAAGGTTTAAAATGCTTCAACAACTGAAACTGAAACAGGCATATTTCTGTTGACTAACTAAACTTGTACAAGCATTCAACCCTCTCCAATCCAGTAAAGATGTTGCTTCTATACCTGAAAAATTCAGATACTTTTTTGTTCCTGACCTCTTCTGAGCTTAGATGGTCAGTGAGGAGGAGGGTGGACAAAATACACAACTTCTTAATTGACTAAGAGCGTTTGTAGATAAAACCATAAATACAATACTTTAACTCAAGTCATATTTTATAATTTTATTTTAGAAATTTCTACTTTTACTCAAGTTCGGACGTTTTGCACTTTGTTCACTCCTGGTGAAAAGGTTCCTGTAGCTGCAATGTGGTGGGTGGAAGGGAGTCTAGAAGTAGAGGAAAAAGAGACAGGACTGAAACAGAACTTTGGTAAAATTCAAATTTTAAACTTTGGTTGTATAAGATGGGGATCCACCATGGAAGCATATATATGAGTCATGAAAACTTGAGAGGAGTGGAAAACGTAGTTGAGAAAACACACTAGGTGAGTGTGTTTAAACTACAAGAAAGGAAAAAATACAACTGGTTCAGTCAAGCAAAAAAGTTTTATTTTAAGTTTTATAACAAAGCATGGGCACAATCTACATGGGCACTTCTCTGCTGTATTTTCCATTGTAACAGCATTGTCTCCATCCTTAAAAGTGAGCAGAATTTGGTCCACATTGTACTGAAGAATGTTAGCTACTAATTCTGAACAAAGCAGGGGGCCATAGTTCTCTTATTCTTTGAATTTTCCTTCTCAATCACCTTCTCAATGTTTTCATTCCACAATTTGAGGTGGTACTAAAATATGCATGAAAGGATGCAATTTGTTTATTTTAAATGATAAGAAACAGGAATACGATCTGTGCTACAGATAGATGAACTTTTCCAAATGCACTCTGCACCCTGTTCAGTAAGTTAGCATCTAGTTACCAAATCACAGCTCAGAAAAAATAATAACTTACTGATTTGACTGTAAGTGCAGCACCAGTTACTCCCTCAGATTTCTGTTTTTATCTCCTAAAATCATGTGAGTGAAGCATCAGACCTGGTCTGTAGTGTGTGTGTGGCCATTAGCCAGCAAGCAAACAACCCCACATATCACAGAACCTGGTTAGTTTCTCCTTTTCTGTCACCTCAACATCAGTCACTTGACGTCTCTTGCTCAGATTTGAGCCTTTATTCGTCGTGGGTCAGCATAAATTAACGCTTACTGAGCCGGTCTTCCAGCAGAGCATTAGCTAACTTAGCCTGCTAATGTTAGATAAGCTTGAGCAAACAGGTTAGCTAGTTAGCTAGGTAACAACTCATAGAAGTGTACACACCAGTTTATCAAAAACGGAATGTAAATTCGACACAGTTCCGAGTTCAAATTGTAATTTTTAAACTTCTGTGTTATTATTTTGTGAGAGCAAACATTCATCTAAAAGAGGTGACTCGCTAGTCTAGCTACCACGGCAGATAACGGCGAACTAACTGACTGTTAGCAAGTGATGCTCATTTTCATTTTAACATTTTAACAGTGTTGTTAGTTAAACGCTAACAAATCATAGGATTAGGTCTGAGTAAATATCTAACTGAGAAATTGTTGGTAGGTCAAATAAACCAAGAATTTACTCACCAGACGCGTTTAGAAGTCTTCCAAAGTGTCGAGAAGCTACTCCAAGTGCGCAATTTCCGCCTCTGCGGTGGAGCGATGGTGACGGCTCGGACCTTAATAAGGGATAGAATCTGCCTCAATACAGGTAGAATCCTGTTCAATATGTGTGGAATCTACATCAATATGGGTAGAATCTGCCCTTTTAGTTTTTTTGCTGAAACATCAGTTGTCGAGCCTCGCCTGTACCTGTCCCAAATCCGGTGTGCCAAAACTGTTAGCCGAGACCGCTGCACAGAAGCCGAGCTCGGGCCGACTCTTCATGTTAGCTAGGTTACTAGCCAGTTACATTACAAAAGAACTCAACATATTTCTGTGTTTTAACAATGCAGAATCCATGGATCCCTCTTTGATATGGGAAACTCTTAAGGTTTATGCTAGAGGGTTAATAATCTCCTTTGTCTCCCAAAAAAAGAGAAGAGATAATCTGGCCCAGATTAATTTGGAGAGGGAAATATCTGAACTAGAGAATAAATTAATTAAAGCTCCAGGGAAAACCATAGCAAAAAAACTTCTGCATCTCTTTACGCTTTACTAACACAGAAAGCCGGCACAGCACTTTTGTACGCTAGACGTAGGTTTTATAAATTTGCTAACAGGCCAGGGAAGTATCTTGCTCGATTTATATCAGGTAGGAAAGAACATACTTTTATAGTGGCAATTAAGGATGAACACAAGAACAGGAAAACTCTTACTAAGGACATCAGTCTTTAAGCAGTATTATGAAAATCTATATAAATCACAGTGTACCAGCTCAGATACTTTAATGTCTTCTTTCTTAGACAGACTCTCACCTGCTTTAAAACACATCCAGCAGGATGATAAATAAATTTTGGATGATCCACTTACAGAGAGTGAGCTAATAGAAGCAATTAAAACCCTCCCCAATAACAAAAGCCCAGGTCCAGATGGGTTCAGCGCAGAGTTTTATAAAAGATTTTTAGATGTTGTTAAAACCCCAATGCTTCGCATGTGCCAGGATGCATTTGAT